CAAAGAAAGAGGGCGCTGGAGACAAAGGCTCTTTGATGAATGGCCTCACCACTGTCACTGCTCCAGCTAAGGGTCCACTGTGACACCTCAGCCTGGTGAGAAGGAGCACCTCTAAACACTGGAGATCACATCAATGACTTATGAACGTCCACGGGCATCCCAGCCACCTGCATCTACTGCGCAGGAGGCAGGCTGATGGCTGCCAGGCCTCTGGGAAGCCAGAGGACCCACAGAAATCTGGTGAACCTGTGTCTGCAGAAGGCCACAGACAGACAGGATAAATGCTTTGTCCCAAACAGTGAGCACATGTTGGACTCCATCCAAGGTGGGGAGATAGTCTGACTCTCCTTGGGAATGTGATTAGCATCCCAAGAGCCAAGGTGGGGGGGGAGAGCAGATCAAGGTCACTGGAGAGTGGGCAAGGAGTCAGGTGGGGGCTGTGGTCTTGGCAAAAGACCCCGCCTCCCTCCATCCATAGTGAAGCCCAGCAGTGGGATATGGTGGACACAGCCCACTAGGCCACACACATATCCCCAGGAGTTAGGATGACATTGGTGGCAGGAAAGGTGATGGACCACGGGTTTTGAGTTTCCAGAAATGTGGAGCGGGGTGGGGAGAAGCAAACCATGGACTTAAAGGGAATGGAAATACTGTTGACCGAGGAGGGTATGAAGTCCCCAGAGGGCAGGAAGGTGGGGCACAGCGAGCAGGAGACTGCCGAAACCAGCTTCCTGGAAGCGTACCCGCCACAAGGTGCTTTTCAAGTCTACCTGTCCAATCCACAGATGGGGCCTACGTCCCAGCAACATGTCCCCTGCTCCTCTGCAGAGACTTTGAAAAACTGATTTATGGAAAAGCAAGACTGCAAGAGCAGCCACGGAGAGCTCTGACTGACAAGGGGCCTTCTCAACCAAAGCACCCGTGTGGCAATATTTACAAGGATGTGGGGCTTGGGGAACAAAAGCTAGAGTCTCAGGATCCCTTTCATGTGGGTCTGTCAAGGGGGACACTCAACACATTTCAAAGAAAACCAAAAGAGGGAAACTGAAAATGTTGGAATGAGTCCAATGTAGATGTAAACGACACAAAAGGGAATTCTTCTGTTTTGCTGGTTGTCCTTTTACAGCCCCAGAGTATGTTGTAGAAAGTGGCATCAGATGGCATGATTTACCTCCTGAGTGACCTTAAGTAAGATCCTCAACCTCAGTGCCTCAGTTTCCCTTCCATAAAATGGGAATCATCATGGCACCTACATCTTAATCATTACAGTGACAAGTTGTATAAACTCCAGAAAGTTTCTAGCGCATAACAGATCCTCAAAAAATGCCTCTTTCCTTCTCCCACAATCTCAAGAACCAATGCAGAGTTGGGACACATGAAAAAGTCAAGAAACCAGGCAAGCCCTGAACAACGACACAAGGGAACAGAGGAGAACTGTCTGAGGAAATGTCAGGATTAGGTCCCAGGTGGTAGTGGAGTTGAGGTGAGGAGAGGTTATTGTCAGGGAAGAAAAAGTGGAAACCATCACACTATGAAGCAAAAGAAAAGATACCTAAGAATTTTTTTAAAGCTTTAAATTCATAATGTGGTTCTTCCCCAATGTGAAAAGTGCTGGTTAAAGAAAAGATGAAGTTTTAGGGGAGAGAGAACAAAGCATGTCCCCAGGCTCAGTATGGAAATGACAGAGACCCAAGACCACCTGCACCGTGAAAGTCCAATTGTAAGAACCATTCTTCTGGGAAATTTGGCGGAGGACTAGGGAAAGCCTGAGATCAAGGGTCCCACATATAAAGGAATCACTTTGTAAGTTCTATAAAATGGCATAGACGGGGGAGGGAGGGGGCACAGAGACCAAGAGGAGTAGACTTAGGGACTTAGGGGTGAATATTTTAGAAATAAGTGAAGACACAGTAAAAAGAATTGTCCCAGTGTTAATGATAAAATCAAGGCCACTTAGTAAAATACAAGATAAAAATTTTTACAAGGGAGCACATAGGGACACAGAAAATGGAAAAGGGATACTTTGTGCTCTGAGGACTCTTTATTTAGAAAGTCTCCAAATGTAATATTTTTAAGTTAATAGAGTATGATAGAGAGGGGGAAACCAGAAATAGACAAGAGCATGGCCATGCAGAAAAGCAGGGAGGGAGGTGATGTTTTTCAGGGGGCGTTTTTTAGACAGCTCATTTACATCTTATTACTAAGAGAATTTCCAGGTCACACCAGAAAGGTAAGAACCTCCCCCCTGACCAAGGAGAAGACCAAAGACACAACTACTCAGGCCGGTGGCATGTCTAGGAAAAGTCACATTGATACTGGGTTGGGGAGTTGGCATCTGCTTGTGTCATTTTAAAGTATTTCGGGTACCCATCTTGACCAGGCACTGTGCTGGGAGATGGGGCTCCCGATGTCTGCCTACAGAACTCTTAGCTCTGGAGGGGAAGCAGATGATCACTGCCCCGCAGGGGTCCTGACACACAAAGCTGGACAGGGAAGTCCTTGGAGATCACCCATCTGACCCCCATCCCTCTTACAGACAAGAAGCAGAGGCAGAGAGACACAAAATGGACTGCACTTGGCCATCAGGCAGTGGCTTCTGGAAGCTAACATACTTGATTGCTCAATATGCTGATATAAAAATCAGTTTTATTTCCGTAAACAGTTTGGAAGCCTCCACAACAGTGTCCAGCCACATTGGTATGGTGTCAGATTTCAAGGTAATATTTCTGATATTTTTAGCAAATAGATTCCATGGGTGTAGTGAGATTGCGTCCACTTGCCCTCTCACTGTCCTCATCCCCCACCTTAAATGATTAGGCAAGCTTAGCCCAAAAATAAGTGGAGGGAGAAAGCCAGGGAGGAGCCTGCAGAAGCCAGACCAAACCTGAGCTGGCAGATGGGGTGGAGGATACTCTCGTAGGCGCCTAACCTTTCCCTCTGAAGTCGGCCTTTCTCATTCTCAGGAACATCTTAGGTGCTCTCTACACAACACACAGCCTCCTTAGCATGTTTTAAACCTTGATGTGAATGGTATCCTCCTGTCTCTAAAAATCTTCTAAATATCTATTCCTTAAAGATGCCACTGACTGTCCAACAGATCCACAGAGACTATTCATTAGCTTCACAGACGGTTCTGCTTTGAAACTTCTATCACTAAGGACAGAGAGCTGGGTGAAGATCCTGCAGAGGAGAGAGGCCACCTGTGTGTGCGTGTTGCCCAAGAGCAAAGCTTGAGCCCACAGGACTAACATGCATCTCGCGATCCTTCCCCCTGGGCTGCACGTGGCGCCTCATCCCCACTGGCTTCCCAAGGAGCCACAGCAGATGGCCATCTGAAGGCGGAATTAGCTCAAGAGTCATTACATGAGGGTGTTCTCAATTGAGTGCCCCAGAGTAAATAGTAATTACACGTTCCTTCTAGATTACTCTCTGCCGGAGACGGGAAAGAAGAGAGTCACGGATGGCTGACCGCAATACCCTGAACGTGCACAGTGCGCACACACGCACAGACTGGTCACAAGTCTGGATACGGAATTCTCCCCTAAGAGCATGACAGCACCTCTACGAGTCCCTTGAAATACCCAAATTGGCTTCTCAGAGGCATCAGGAATGGCCCTTCCCTATTCCCTCTCTTCTTTTCTTGCTGAGGACTCCCCAAAGGTGCACCGTCCGACCTGTGGGAAACACGCCACCTCTCTAGCTACTCCACACAGGAAAGAGGAATTGGCCTGATGCAGAAACAACACTGCTGAGACCTGGAACACTGCGGGACATACAAGACAGCTCGTTGAAGTCACTTCCCACCATCACGTCTGCGCATGGGCAGCTATATGTGCTAGGCTATGGACAGCAGATTTCCATGTGAGGCAGGAGGCTTGGCCAGATCACCCCAAAACAAAACCCAGACAGGTAACAGGAGGATGCTCATGTTTCCACCTCCAGAAGGTCACTGGATGTGGGTGGCAGCCACCCTCAGCGGGGCATGGTGGACAACCAGGTGTCTCTAAACCACCTCCAGAGCAGCACCCTTTGCTATCTTTGCAAGCTGTCCAGGGGACTTCAGGAGAAATGTGGGGACTTTGAAAGTTTTTTTCCCTGTTGACCTGTTTGGCACAGAGTCCTGGAAAAGGATCACAAAATGGCCAAATGTCATTCTCTTCCCACAACAATGGCTCTGAGAAGTTATTATCTAGTAGGCACTGTCCAGGGGATGGTTCACGGGTTCTCTTTAATACCTGCAACTCCATGAAAGAGGTGTTCTTATCACCCCATTTGTAGAAGAGGACATTGAGGGTGAAATGGAGAGGTGGAAATCTGGCCAGGGTTGCAGCTGGCATCAGGTGGATCAGGACTCTAGAGTATGTTTTCTACCCCTACAACTTAACAGCATTCCCCATGCAGGGAAATAATTTCATCTAAAACTGGTAATACTTCCATCTTTAAAGGAACTCTTATTCTATGATTTTTATTTTAACTTCATACCAACCTTATGAGAGACTCAAAGCAGAGATTAATCCCTTTGGGCAGGTAAAGAAAGTAAGCTACAGTGAAATCAAGGACTCACAGAGGTCCCCCGTTTGGCAACTCCCCCTCCCAAATCCCAAATGGCTTCTTTCTTTGGATGCTGCAAAACACTGTCAGCAGAGCTGGAGGATTGGGTGCCCTGGGCTTCTCCAAACGTGTGGAAGCCTATGCAAATTCCAGAGGGGTGGAGGTGCAGAGGGAGGGGTAGCAAGACCACAAAGGTCCAAAACAAGGGTCTCTGCAAATTAAAAACAAAATTTAAAAATCAGAGATGGCTGGGCGTGGTGACAAATGCCTATAATCCCAGCAATTCAGGAAGCTGAGGCAGAAGGATTGCAAGTTCAAGGCCAGCCTCAGCAACTTAGCTAGACCCTGATTCAAAATTTAAAAAAAAGGGGGGGCTACAGATGTGGCTCAGGGGTTAAGCACCCTTCAATTCAATCCCCAGTGCCAAAATATATATGCAGAAGATCTATGGACTCATGTTTTTGAGCGATTAGCCCTGATCAGCTTTCCACTAACCCTCCAGTTGTGCTTAGGGAAGAGAAAGGTGAGTGCAGAAAACAGATCAAGGAAAATGATGGTAGAGCCACAAAACCCAGAAGAAGCCACTTCTGGGCCTATGGCCTTGGATGACAGGGACAAAGGCTGGCTGACCTGTTGTCATCAGTTATGGTAGGAGCACAATAAACTGGGTTCACCAGAACAAATAGTTCTAAACATGTAAACTTTTAGAGCCAGAGGCCCCCAATCACCTGCAATCTCTCATTTAACTATTGAGGGAACTGAGCTCTTGAGGAGCACGAGTACCTTCATGACTGCTGAACCTGGAGTTGGGACTGGGCTGGACACCTGGTACCTGCCTCCTTCAGTGGCACATCAGGCTGCCTCTGACCATCAGAGCTTGCGACTGAAGCAGCCCTTAACCTGGGTCTCTTTCCACTTGACTTCATTGTTCAGCTCTTTTTTTAAAAAAATATTTATTTAGTTGTAGATGAACACACATGTGGTGCTGAGGATCGAACCCAGTGTCTCACACTTGCGAGGCAAGCGCTTTACCACTGTGTTACAGCCCCAGCCCCTTGTTCAGCTCTTAATTCCCAAATAATTATAGATTCCCAAGGAGTTGCAAAGAGAAGGTAGAAGGGGCCCTGTGCTCCTTCACCTGCCTACCCCATGGACTTGGGCGCTCACGAGACCCACAGTTGCTCTGTAACCTCAGATACACTCAGAGTGGCAGGTCCCCTCCTGAGGACTGACTTAGGAGCAAGTTATCCTGACATTTCTTCCTCCTATCTTATCCTACCCCTTCACTGATAGAAACTCTAAAACACACATACACACACACACACACACACACA